CCAGGTTGTGGTCTGTCCCTCCTCTGACTGTAGGCCAGTCCTCATCACCTGAAGTGACCGGAGTAAAGTGACCGGGTTAGCCCTTCATGTGATCCATTGCTAATGTAAAAATACTGCTAACAGCCACTTCAATAGCAACATTAATGACTCTGATGTAAACGCACAGAAAAACTGACTTCTCACAACTTCATTGTCCACACATGGACATCTGACTCTGAGGGTCAAGTGTCAGTCTGTGGGAATCTTCTGATATTTCCCTGTGTGTGTGTGTGTGTGTGTGTGTGTGTGTGTGTGTGTGTGTGTGTGTGTGTGTGTGTTCTGTTCCTGTGTGTGTTCAGTCAGGGGATTTCCTGCTGCAGGAGGGTTTTCTGATTCTCCTTATAAAGCTGTGATGATGGTTTCAGTTTGACAGGCTGATTAATGTCCAACTGTGTTTCCACAGACACGGGTCTCATCCTAGTCTTGATCATATTGAAATCTGGTTCTACATATGGTCCATATAGATGATGAACAGCAGAGTCCTGGGTGAGATGTTTACAGACTGATGTTCCTGTAACCATTGACCTTCAGTTCATACCACTGTGGCTGCTGAAAACAAAGACTCTGTATCTCTGATCACTGATCATGTTCTCCATCTAAAATACTGAAGATCTTTAACTCTTTCATTCCCCAGAGACTGAACTCTGTTCCTCTGCTGCACCTGCACAGGTGCATATCGTTAGCTTCAGAGTGCTCCAACATATTCTTGGGCAGAGTAAAAAAGAGACAGAAATGTATTTAACGTGGATGTGAACTTTTGTTTCAGACTCATAAAGTCAGTCAGAGAGAACGAATGCCATTTGTAGGCAGGTCTGTGTGTGTGTGTGTGTGTGTGTGTGTGTGTGTGTGTGTGTGTGTGTGTGTGTGTGTGTGTGTGTCCTGAAGACACTCCGGAGCAGAAACTACCACAGAGGTGTTTTCTTAAAGTACTTTGGCAGGTGTTTATATATAGCTGTGTAGTAATAACCACTGAGTACTCCTGTGACCCCCCCAGCGTTGACCAAGTGTCTACCTGGTCAGTTGAAGAACCTAAATGACCTCTGACCTTTGACCTGGACTCGGGTGCTGCTCTCTACTCTGCCGTAGCTGTTCTCGGCCACACATATATACACTCCTTCATCATGCTGTGACGCCTTCTGGACGGTCAGTGTGGCCACGCCCTCGATATACGAGGCCCGAGCGGCGGCTGGATGAGGGCGCTCTAACGAGGAGGAAGAGACATCATCATCTTCATGTCGTCATGTGACAGCAGCACTGATCAATCACAGACCAGCAAATAAAGACAGAACAGACTGAAGAGGACCACATCATTGGTCACCTGGCTGGAGGAGCATCCACACATCAACCAAGCTAAAGATCAAACAGTGCTCACTGCTCTCCACAAATAAACCAGCTGTCAACCTGAGACCATGTGACCATCTGGAGGATCTGGACTCTGACACGTCATTATGTGAAGATCCACCTCTGTCCTGAAACCCTGGAGGACTGAGACTTCCTCTTCCTTCCTCCCTAGGTGGAGTTATTTGGCGTGAGTTGTGTGAGGTTCTCATGAGTAGTCGTTACATTACCCCTCTCTGTTCAGGAGAGACGACCGGCAGCACCCGTCAGAGTGATGAGCCGCTGTGGGCGGGGCCACCAAATAAAACCTGTTGTGGACACTTTTAAAAACATCCCACTGTAACAATCCAACATCTGTTTAACTGAAGCTTCATGTAGAAGATTTTCATCTTTATCTTCCTGTGATCTTTCCTGTGGCACTACATTTTTCAACCACTGAACGACCATATTCCCACACACAAGCGCACATACGGACCGCACCGTATTACTCCGCTTTCTAATTCAATAAACTGACCTGCATCTGCGGCGTCATACAGCCCCCACGTCAAACTACCTGAACTATCCCTTTGAGCTTCATTAGTTGCTGCATCTCATTAGAAGCTCCCGCTGTTAGTGTGTTACTGCTCCACTCTGTGTCGGCCCTTTAAATCTACACGTACTGTATGTACCAATAAACCACCTGTATGAGTCGTAACAAACATCTCCTCACATGCTTTCAGTCTGAACTATAGCATCATCTCCTCCTCTTTCAGAAAGTCACACTGGTTTATTCTCCACAGGTGAGGGAGAGGAGGACTGTCCTAAACCGTGTGGCTCTGAGGACCTTTGATTTCCAGCTGCAAAACATCTGGAGGAGGAGGAGGAGGAGGAGTCCCCACAACGTGATGAACATGAGCTTTAAACACACACACTGGATTCAACACTCAATGCCCTTCTTGGGTCGGCTTCTCTCTCTCTCTCTCTCTCTCTCTCTCTGTGTGTGTGTGGTGTTCATTGCAGCAGCATGTTTTGTCTTTATATGGTTTTCAGCTTTCATATTTGTTTAACGGTCGTACGACACCAGAGCTCTTTCTCCCTCTCTGTCTCTCCCTCTGTCTTTCTCTCTCCCCCTCTCCCTCTCCTTCTCTCTGTCTCCCTCTCTCTCTCTCTCTGTCTCTCCCTCTGTCTCTCTCTCTCCCTCTCTGTCTCTCTCTCTGTCTCTCTCTCTCTCCTTCTCTCTCTCTCTCCCTCTCTGTCTCTCTCTCTCTCCTTCTCTGTCTCTCTCTCCCTCTGTCTCTCCCTCTCTGTCTCTCTCTCCTTCTCTGTCTCTCTCTCCCTCTGTCTCTCTCTCTCCCTCTGTCTCTCTCTCTCTCTCTCTCCCTCTGTCTCTCTCTCCCTCTCTCTGTCTCTCTCTCCCTCTCTCTGTCTCTCTCTCTCTCTCTCCCTCTCTCTGTCTCTCTCTCCCTCTCTGATCAGCTCTTTTTATTCAGCTGCAGTTTGTACAAATGTTTTTCTGTCTGGACCTTTAATCCTTCAACATTTAAAGTAACAAAGTGTAGAAACTAAAAATGAAGTGTGAGTGTGAAGGTCCAGGTCACGTCTACATGATGTTTATAAATAAAGTTATAATGTTATAGATAAAACAGACGCCAGGGGGTTAGAGATTCTTCATCTCAGTCTCAAAGAGAGAGACAGGCAGACACAGAGAGAGAGAGAGACACAGAGAGAGAGACAGAGAGGGACACAGAGAGAGAGACAGAGAGAGAGACACAGAGAGAGAGACAGACAGACAGAGAGAGAGAGACAGACAGAGAGAGAGAGAGGGACACAGAGACTCTGCTGGAGGATGAACAAGTCTGAGGCTGAAATAAAACCTGTGTGTTGATGTTTCATGTTCCGTCTCCTCAGTTTCTTCATGTGTGTCCACCTGTGTGTAATCAGAGTGTGTGCTGCCCTCTGCTGGACACTTCAGTACAACACACTGCTGTGACAGAACTCCCCCTATCCTACAGCTACACCTGTCACTGCCTGAACCTGTTTCCTCAAGGTCTCCACACCTGAACCACATTCCCTGTGTGTGTGTGTGTGTGTGTGTGTGTGTGTGTGTGTGTGTGTGTGTGTGTGTGTGTGTGTGTGTGTGTGTGTGTGTACACTCTGCAGGTGTCATACTGACCATTGAGCAGCCAGCAGACTGATGGAGCAGGTTTTCCCTCCACAGAGGCCTGCAGGCTGAAGACCTGACCCTCTGAGACAGAGCAGTCCTGCAGCTCACTGAGGAAGACTGGAGGATGAGACACACCTGGGGGGGCAGACAGAGACAGACAGACAGGTAGACAGTGAGAGACAGAAAGACAGTTGGAGACAAACAGACAGGCAGAGAGACAGACAGACAGTTAGAGACAGACAGACAGACAGAGACAGAAAGACTGGCAGAGAGACAGACAGTTAGAGATAGACAGACAGGCAGAGAGACAGTGAGAGAGAGAGACAGAGAGAGAGAGAGAGAGATACAGAGAGGGAGAAAGAGCTCTGGTGTCGTACGACCGTTAAACAAATATGAAAGCTGAAAACCATATAAAGACAAAACATGCTGCTGCAGACAGTTAGAGATAGACAGATAGGCAGAGAGAGAGACAGTTAGAGACAAACAGATAGGCAGAGAGACAGACAGTTAGAGACAGACAGACAGACAGTTAGAGACAGAAAGACAGGAAGAGAGAAAGACAGGCAGTTAGAGACAGAGAGACCGGTAGACAGTTAGAGACAGGCAGAGAGAGACAGACAGACAGACGGTTAGAGACAGACAGACAGACAGGCAGAGAGAAAGACAGACAGGCAGACAGTTAGAGACAGACAGATAGACAGACAGGCAGAGAAACACAGTTAGAGATAGACAGGCAGAGACAGACAGACAGGTAGAGAGACAGACAGACAGTTAGAGACAGAAACACAGGCAGAGAGACAGACAGACAGTTACAGACAAACAGACAGGCAGAGAGACAGACAGACAGAGACAGAAATACAGGAAGAGAGACAGACAGACAGTTAGAGACAAAAGGACAGGCAGAGAGACAGACAGACAGTTAGAGACAGAAAGACAGGAAGAGAGACAGACAGACAGTTAGAGACAGACAGACAGACAGGCAGTTAGAGACAGAGAGACAGGTAGACAGTTAGAAACAGACAGGCAGAGAGACAGACAGACAGTTAGAGACAGACAGACAGACAGACCGGCAGTTAGAGACAGAGAGACAGGTAGACAGTTAGAAACAGACAGGCAGAGAGACAGACAGACAGTTAGAGACAGAAGAACAGGCAGACAGACAGTTAGAGACAGACAGACAGACAAGCAGTTAGAGACAGAGAGACAGGTAGACAGTTAGAAACAGACAGGCAGAGAGACAGACAGACAGTTAGAGACAGGCAGAGTCGACAGTCAATCCCTCAGCTGTGGTCAGCTGACACCTGTAGGTTCCCTGGTCCACCTGTCTCACCCTCTCCATGGTGAGGGTGAGACGAGTCCCGTCCTGTCTCTGCTGCAAACCTGGTCCCGTCCTCACCGGCCTCCCGTCCTTCAGCCAGCTCACCATGGCAACGGCAACAGATGAAACTGAGAGCAAATGAGAGGAGGGGTGAGAGTGAAGAGTAGAGACGACTTCTAGAGGCTGACAGTAGTCATAACACCTGAGCATGTGAGACAGATGTGATGACAGGTGAGACTGTCATACATCTGGATTCATTACTCTCACGTGTTTCCACTGCTGTTGTACGAATGTCTTTAATGATTTAGCTGCAAGTTGTGAGCATTAATTAAGCTAGCTTCATCAACTTGCTCCAACAGCTGATCACAGATCTGAATCTTTATTTATAACCTCAGTTACTAACAAACAACAGATAAACTTCATTAAAGAGGATTCAAATCTGATAAACTTATCAAACTCTAGTGGAGTCAGTTATTTAGAGCTTTAGTGACCAAATGATAAAAACTTCATGTGATTGAACAAGGGATTGGAAAACATTTGGATTTTCTTTCATTTTTATTAGTTTTTATTTTATTTGCTGTCTGAATTTATTAAACACCTGAACATTTGTTTCTGTATCACACCTCATACAAACGTCTGGACACTGTACAGATCTCAGACCTCTGATTGTTCCCACTGAGTTTTACCTGGATAAAGGTTCTAACTAACTTCAATCTAATGGACTCTGAGCTGGAGTGTCCTGTGTGCACAAACAAGGCAACATGACCTTACGGTCTGATACATGTGTACATATTATTTTACTTTTAAGGTTTTAAGTTTGAGTCAAAGTTTTGAATTACCTTGGCAGGTGAACGCCACCTGTCCTCCCTCTGTGGCCTCCTGGTCCAGAGGAATGGCCTCGAACCGCAGGTTGCACCCCGACACCGACCTCCTCACAGCCCTGAAACACAGACAGTAACTGATGTTCACACTTTACACTCTCAAATCACAGCAAAGCAGAACTGAGGCATAAACTGAAGCAGGGCTGCAACATAGTTGATAAATCAAACTGTTGATTAAAAGAAAATCAATCAGCAGCTATTCTTAAAATCAATTCATCATTTGAGGCAAAACTGCTACACATGATCTGAAGACGTCACCTTGTGTTTAAGATAGTGGTGTTTTATTTTTTACTGTTAATTTATTGAGAAAACAATAACCAGATTAATCAATAATGAAAATAAATGTTAGCTGCAGCTCTTCATTAAAGAACAATAACTTTTCTTTCAGCCAATAAATGACATTATATTACACTGATAACATCATATGATGTTTGATTAGGTTAGGGACAGTGTGGTGATCAAATGTAAGAAACTCCACTGTTGCTAATCAAGAAAATGGATAATGCTAAGGTAACATTACTTAGTGAGCTAACATTCATCAGTCAGCCAAGAAGGAGCTATCATTACCAGTTAGCGAGCTAACTAGTTTTATCTTAATCGTCATGAACAAATTATTTTAATTATTTTAACGGTTAAACGTTTGACCGTTAAACCGCTAACCGTCAGTGCTAAATACGTTCGTTAGCTATGGATGTTAGCTAGCTAAGTGACAGTAGGTGACGTTAGCTGTGTGTTTACAAAGGTCTGGAGTGATTCTGTACCTGTTGCTGCCTGAAACAGCTGCTGGCCACTGGACTGAACCGGTCTGACCAGGTCTGAGGATTGACTGGACCTGCACACAGAACAGAACCGGTGGTTAATAACGTATCTAGTCAACTAGCTAACCTAACCATCACATGACACTGATTGTCGCTGTTAGCTTGGGGTTCGTAGCAGCTAGCAGAGTGTGTGCAGGTTAACAGTTACCTGTGGAGGAAAGTAACTCATCTACTTTACTTTCTTTACTTTTAAATTCTGTCAGTTTCATTTTATTTGAGTCTTTTAACTTCATTCTGCTGTGTGCTAACTCCAGGCAAGCAGAGCCGAGTATGTAAAAATCACTTCTGTGCTAATCTTCAACATATTTACCGTCACCTGACAATGACTCACTCCACTGGCTCATCGTCTGGACTGTAGCTGAAGCTCAGCGGAGAGGCGGGAACTTCGGTCTGGAGGAGTCGCAGCATTTATTTACAGACAAACAGCTCACTGTACTCACAGCTACACTGCTAACTAGCTAGCTAGCTCTGCTCCGGTCACGGGAGCGTGAGTGTCTATATTCCCACAGCCCTATATTCCCCTTTTATACCCTTTCAGAACGCTTTGCATCCACGCTCCGCGGCGTCTTCACATTTATCCACCTCAGCAATCGTTTTTGTAAAGCTTCGTTTTCAGTTATGGAATTCACTGTTCTAATGTGGACGGAAGGGCTAACCGGATAAATATTACCCGGGTTAGTGTGGACATGGGCTTATGGCTTATGGGAACATATAAGACTGTGGGAAAATAGGGCCTAATTTTCAAAACATTCTTAGAAATGTGGGAACATAGAGCTAGCCTCACCGCTCTCTCTACGCACACGACCTACGTACCGATCTATTCCTGAAAGCATCTGCTCTACTCCTGTAACAATATTCTGTCTGTACCTTACAGCAGATCACACAGAGAGGATAAATCAGCGTCATTAGCTGTTTACTTGCTCTGCCTCCATAAGAGGCTCCTTATAATAATAATAATTATTATTATGTTAGTGATAACTATATCAATAATGATTATAACAGTAATAATTATGGTAGTAATAATAATAATAATAATAATAATAATAATAATAATAATACTTACTGTGACTGGAGCAACTGTAGTTCTCTGAGTCTGTCCAGCCTGAGTGAGGGGGCTCTGCTGCTTCTCCCTGAGTCTGGGCTGCTCTGCCTGGGAGTTGGGAGCACTGGGAGCAGCTCTGTCCTCTGTCCTGGTGTGTGTGGTCTCAGCTGGGTGGACAGTCCTGCAGGAGGAGGCGTCAGTGTCAGGACCTGTGACTGTTTTCTAATATGTCTGTGGGGTCCTCTTTGACTTTCAGTGGTGGTGTTTAGTGGTGTGGTTACTTCCTGTTTCAGAATGTGTTGTTGTTATGTTTTGTGACATGTCTGTTGTCTCTGCAGCGGTGACTTAAATCACAGTGACAGTAAACGCAGCTCTGACCTCCAGCTTCTTCTGAGAAAGTTACACAATCTGATAAAGCACATTAATGACACAGCGTGAGGTCTCTCCTTTATTCATGGACGTCTGTTTAAACTTAACATTAAACCTGACAGAGCTGAAGTTACATCCACATGTCTGTTCTTTTATCTTTACATCCAGAGCATTGTTAAGGAGTTTATAGGGACATTTACATGGAATAAAAGTACAGTAAAGGAGCTCTTCCTTCACGCTGTGGCCTTCCAGTTGTTATTTCGTCCTGCTGGGCTCCAGAGGGGCCAACATGGAAAACAGCTTTAACAGGCCTGTAAAGTTAGTTTGTGTCTGCTACCTATTATGTGAAGGCTGCAGGTAGCTTCCTTCAAAGTCTCTGCACATGTTGGACTAAGTCTATACAGCCAGTACCCCAGGTACCTTCACATGAGAGGCACTCACTGAATTCACCCAGACATCACTGAGCACAGCTTCCTGTCTCAGATTCATGATGTTCCCCTGTCAGAGCCCCGCCCTCCTTGACCACCTTCAATCAAACTGGGAGGACGGTCTGACAGGAAACCTGGAAATCATCCACTGAGATGATCCGTACAAGCTCCACATGCCACACACTGTTTAATATCTGTCTACATGAAGGTTCACTGAACCTCATCCAACCAGTCAGAGGTGGAGCTGACGGAGTGAGAAACTATGAATCTAAATCTAATCCCCATCAGGCTGCAGGTGAAGAGTTGTTTGAATAATCTGTTATCCAGCCATGTGGTTCAGAGTTGCTCTCTCTGGATCCGGATCTGGATCTTGGGTGAAGGTCCAGTTCAGCTGTTCCCATCACGACTGTTGCACATTGAAACTGCTGTGGAGACTGAGCCACAGCTACAACACTGACTCACCTGGAGGAGTCCTCAGGAACATCTGAGGAGGAGAAACATCAGGAGAACTTCATGAACATGTTCCACCTATTCAGACAAGGTGATGACATCAAACCCTGCGCTCTGATTGATCGTCTCACCTTGGACGTGGAGCTCGGCGGTGGCGGTTGCTGTTCCGGTGCTGTTGCCGATCGAACACGTGTAACTTCCTGCGTCGTCCACATGGACTTCCTTTATCTCCAGGAAGTGGAGGCCAGAGCGCTTGTACATACTGACCCGCCCACTAGACTGAAGCTCCACCTCCCCCTGAAACAGACAATAAACAACAAACACAAACAAAACACTCATGTTTTTGTTAAATATAAATACTTGTCATTATTGGATTTTTATATAAACACTGTATGTTGTTGTTGTTGTTGACTTCTGGTTCTGGTTCTGGTTCTGGTTCAGATTATGAAACTGGGGGACCATTTGTCTGGACCTGCTGGATCTGCATCAGGACCTGGACTAAGACTCAGATTCTGGACTGAAATGAAGAATGAAAATAAAAATCTTTCACAGAAACTTCAGAATAAAAACTTTTTTTATCAAACTTGTTTTGACTTGAAGAGTTCAGTTCCAAGTGGACTGCAGAGATCAGGATCTGATCCAGTTCAGGAACCAGGGTCAGGTTCTCTGTCAGACACTGTAAATCTGGAGAACCAGCAGTGTAGAGCTCTGGGTTAACCTCCTCCCACCTTGTACCATGTGACCCGGGGCTGGGGACGTCCTGTTGTCTTGGCAGAGAACTTCCCACTCTGTCCCAGCTTGATGAACACTCGGCTCGGTTTGGTGATGAACTTCGGTGGACTCTCGCCCCAAATACTGGGCCTGTTCTCCACCGCTGGGACCGCTGAGCGACACCTGCAACCATTGGAGGAAGAGTTCACTGAGGGTTAGATGTGGTTAACACCCCCCCCCCCCATCACTGCACCATGTGAACATGATTAAAACTGTGAACTGAGCTTAATGAACCAGCACAGACGTGTTTCGGTCTGAGGAGTGGGGGGGGGGGTGCTCTGCAGTTCAACTGACAGGACGAGTGAGTGAAAGCACAGGAACAGCCCTTTAAACAGCTGATTCCACTCCTCGTGTTCTGACACGTGTCACAGTTTTATGATGAAAATAACAACAGTGAAGATCTGCTAATGTGATCAGGGGGGGGGGCTGTCTGGATTTGTATTTAACACACAGAAACAGCTGACAGAGGAGCTCACCCTGTCTTCATGGAGGACGGGAGGACGTATTTCTTCCCAGAATTCTCTGCAGGTGGAAAAACATGAGAGAAACAGCAGAAAGTTTCAGTCCCAGTCCAAACCAGATTTCAGCTGCAGCGTCATCAGAACGTTTCAACATGAGACACGTCAGGAAAAAAAAGAAGACATAGAACTGATTCTGATCTGAACAACTTTAATGAAACACAGAGGGAACAGTTTGCTGCTCCTCCAGCTTTAGTCTGGACTCTGGGGACAGGAAGCAGACCTGATCCAGGTCAGCTGACTACGTTCAATCCATCGTGAGTTCAGTTGTTTTTCTTCCAAAGCACCAGAAAGAAGCAGAAGAAAATAACGTCAGAGCTAAATCATGTGTCACAGCGGTGAGACTCATCTGTCCGTCTTCTCCTGCTGCATCAGTCCAGTCCATCAGACTGAACAAACGACTCGGTGATTAATTAACTCCACACAGACTTTAATGAGAAAGTTGTTCACATCTTAAGTTTGACTGAACTGAGGCTTTTTGAGATGAAGGTAAATGAACAAATGAAAGGATGGAAAAAGGAAAAGTTAAAGATGAATTCATTAGTTAATGATTTCAGCGTTTGTTTAATAGTGTCATGTCCAACACAAGTTAATTAACAGTCAGTGTGTTTCTCCAGTAAGTTCATTAAGTCCCACTTTAAGTAAGAACAGTGTCGTTTGACTGAGGGTGGAGACACAGTAGAAACCTGCAGCTCTGTCATAAAGCTCAGCTACACACTGACGCCATGTTGGAAAGCACTGTTACACAACACTGCTGGATGTCAGAGGTCAGAGGTCATTCACCCCCTCAGTAGTAGTATCAGTATTAGTATCAGTAGTAGTATCAGGAGTATCAGTAGTAGTAGTATCAGCAGTAGTATTAGTAGTAGTATCAGTATTAGTATCAGTAGTAGTATCAGGAGTAGTATCAGTATTAGTATCAGGAGTAGTATAAGTATTAGTATCAGTAGTAATATCAGTAGTAGTATCAGTATTAGTATCAGTAGTAGTATCAGGAGTAGTAGTAGTAGTATCAGTAGTAGTATCAGGAGTATCAGTAGTAGTATCAGTAGTGGTATCAGGAGTAGTATTAGTAGTAGTATCAGTAGTAGTATCAGTAGTAGTATCAGGAGTAGTATTAGTAGTAGTATTAGTAGTAGTATCTGTAGTAGTATCAGGAGTAGTATCAGTATTAGTATCAGTATTAGTATTAGTAGTAGTATCAGGAGTAGTATCAGGAGTAGTATTAGTAGTAGTATCAGTAGTAGTAACAGGAGTAGTATCAGTATTAGTATCAGTAGTAATATCAGTAGTAGTATTAGTATCAGTATTAGTAGTAGTATCAGGAGTAGTATCAGGAGTAGTATTAGTAGTAGTATTAGTAGTAGTATCTGTAGTAGTATCAGGAGTAGTATCAGTATTAGTATCAGTATTAGTATTAGTAGTAGTATCAGGAGTAGTATCAGGAGTAGTATTAGTAGTAGTATCAGTAGTAGTATCAGGAGTAGTATCAGTATTAGTATCAGTAGTAATATCAGTAGTAGTATCAGTATTAGTATTAGTAGTAGTATCAGGAGTAGTATTAGTAGTAGTATCAGTATTAGTATTAGTAGTAGTATCAGTAGTAGTATCAGGAGTAGTATTAGTAGTAGTATCAGTAGTAGTATCACCTTGCAGAAGGATCTCCACGGTAACCTGCCGGCTACCTGCCTGATTGGTGGCCTGGCAGGTGTAACGCCCCAGGTCGTCCTCTGTGACTCCGCCCACCACCAGACTGAATGTGCCCCGCCCACCTTGCTCCGCAACGCAGCGCTCTCCACCAATCACAGGCTTGCCCTCTCTGTACCATGTGACCTGAGGCTCAGGATGACCACGCACCTGAAAGACAGGTGCACAGGTTTGATTGTGTGGTTGTTTTCAGTCAGGGGGGGTCCTGCTCCTCTAAGGGAGGGGCCTGTTGTCTCCTGATGCTACCGTGACTGAGCTGCCTTCACGTACACAGTCACTGAGTTACTCAGGAAACTTAAACAGTGTCTAATTTCTGAGCTGTCACATCAGAGCAGTTTGTAAACGTAAAGATGGACGATCTCTGATGGAGACTGGAAGAGTCCTGTTTGAGGGTCCAGACCTGGTTCTAGGGTCCAGGTCAGGACCAGGTTTAGAGGTGGGAGAATACACTCTGTCAATAAGTCGTCACAACTACAGAAAGAGCAGCATGTTGGTGTGTGTGTGTGTGTGTGTGTGTGTGTGTGTGTGGCATGTGGCGAACACATGTTTCCACTGTTTGACGACTTTCAGCTTGACTCCCATGAGGCCTTGCAGATCCATCAATCTCCCTGTTTGAGCTGTGACGGTGCATTCAGGTGCTGTGGGATTGTACACACACAACGTTCTCCTGGATCCTGAGGCAGGCGCTGCTCGTAGCTTCTTGTTTTTATGTTAATTATGTTATTATTTGGTTTCTAACTGGTTAAAACTGAGAGAATGAAACCAGATGAGAAATAAACCAGAGACCACACTTCAAAGACAGTGTGTGTGTGTGTGTGTGTGTGTGTGTGTGTGTGTGTGTGTGTGTGGTTGACTGCTTCCCGTCAGGATGCAGTCAGTCACAAGACTGAAGAAATGTTAATCCCTCTCTCTTCACTTCCTGCTCAGTAACATGTGGCTCTGATCTGAAACCTCCATGTTTTCATCTGTAAATCACTCTGTTCTCATCACAGGAGAACCCGGACCCAGAGGAGAACCCGGACCCAGAGGAGAACCAGGACCCAGAGGAGAACCCGGACCCAGAGGAGAACCAGGACCCAGAGGAGAACCCGGACCCAGAGGAGAACCAGGACCCAGAAGAGAACCAGGACCCAGAGGAGAAGTGTCTCACATCTCCTCTGTGTGTCACTAACTTCCTGTTGTTCACCTGTGTTCACTTGTGTGACATCACAGTGTCTGACTCTAACTCTTCTCATTCAGTTAAAGACACAAAACCACCAAGATTAAAAAAGATCATGAACGCATCAGCAGTGAGAGAGGACTGACAGTTCATGTCAGGAACATTATTTACTATATTTTGACTTCAGGTTTGTTTCCATGGTGATGTCACTGTTGTTAACAGCTGCTGCTAATCACATTAGAATTAAAACACATTCTGGATTAATGGTCTTTAATTAAGTTTTTCAGGATTATTCTTTGGTCCCACCTTGCCCTCCAGTCGGGCGTCTCCCCCGAGGGCGACCCGGGCGTTGCGAGGAGGGAGGACGAAGGCCGGAGGCTCGTTGCCAGGGGAACTGCATCCTGTTGACGGGCCTGTTACCTTGGAGCCGGTGGAGGAGGCTGAAGACAAACGGACGTCACTCATCTTGCTGTCAGAGAGAAAAACAGACTGTTAAAGTGAACCTTGCTCACTCTCTCAATCACTCACTCTTTCTCTCTCTCTCTCAGTAGTTTTTAAAATGATTTTCAAACATAACCAGGCTACTGACGATTACAACTTATCATTAATGGAAAACGCAGATTTAAAAGTGTGTGTGTGTGTGTGTGTGTGTGTGTGACATGAACATAAGAACATCATGCGACTCTGACCTGAGGAGAACTCTGACTCAGTGAAACTGAGTCTTCAGTTTAGAGACGTTCACTGTCCCTCTTGGTTTTCCGTAGTTCTTACCAGCAGGTTTTAGAAGTGATTTCAGTTTAGGTTTGGTTTCATCTCAGTTTGAGTTCATGACGATGATTTGTTCCCAAACTGATCTTCATTCATCTCAGACTTTCAACTGATCAGCTCTGATCAGCTGTGATTAGCAGCGATCAGTAGAGGGAGGATTTTCTACAGACTCTGTTTCTCTGGTTTCTAAGTGGATTTCTGGAGCTTTATTCTGGCGAGACATCAGAGATAATAACATCCTCAGGAAGTAATGTCACTCAGATTCTGATCATTTAATGACACTGATATTTAATTGATGTGCAGGTCAAATTAAAGACTGGGCTGTTTCCATGACGACTGGGCAGGTCCTCAGCAGGTCAGAGTTTGTGGTCTCTGAGCATGCTCAGTGCGAGCGCTCCATCAGCCACCAGTGGGTCCAGACTGAGCGTCTGTTAGACGACCAGACGGTTTAATCTGTGTTTTCAGAACAAACAGCGTCACACTGCAAATATGCTGCGCACACACACACACACACACGGCTGCTGAACACACTTTCTTCTTTGAAACCCTGTTTTAATGTGAAAGTCTGACTTTACTTCCTGGTGGTGTCACTGCTGCTCTGATGGTTTGATTGTTTCCAGACACGTTTCTCTTCATATGAAAACAGTCTGCACCCCCCCCCCATACAGGACCTCCGACTGACAGAACAACCTGTCTCTTTGTGCCCAGGCCTCTAATGTTGTTTACCTTCACAGATATTTTCCCAGCAGCCCTCAGTGAAACAGGAACTAGAACTGAGCAGCTGATAGAAGATCAATAGCAGCAGTGACTCTGATGTGAATGTTCCAGTCAGCCAGAACAGAGAGAGAGAGAGAGAGAGAGAGAGAGAGAGAGGTCGTTGGAGTGCGCTCGCCCATCTGTACATGTCGTTATCAGCAGGAAAAGCTTCATCTCTCTCTCTGCAGTAAACACATGCCATGTCAGTCCTGATCAACTGGTAGATAATCAATGATTCATGTATCTGTTCTGATGTGACAGACCCCCCCCACACAGTGATCACACACTCATCTTCTTTCTCCTTTCTGTTTGTCATGTCTGTCTCCAACTGGACACCAGAGCAGAGAGTTAAAGTCATTACAGCGTCGTTGTCTCGTTTCAGTCGTCATAGAAACATCAGAGCTCAAAAGACGTTCACAGGTATAAACTAAAGACAACTTCCCAGCATGCTCCAGGGCTGATGCCCAGGCTGGATCTTTAATCGGAGGAGATTCCTTCACGTCAGTTGAGCGTTTCACAAACATCCGTCTCCACTAAACCCCCCAGTCCTGGCGCCGCTTCCCACAGCAAGCAGAGTCAGTTCTCTGCTGACGTCTGACACTTAAGGGTTAATTTCTCCTCAGCTCAGGGAGTTACTTAAGGGTGTTGCACTGAATCTCTTAAAATGTTTCCTTATCTAGCTTAAAAGGTAAGAAGTTTACAGCAGTGAAAGAGATTTTATAGCGGCAAAAAGTCTGTTTCCATGGAGACCATTTGTTTGGAGGAAGGAAGTGGGCAACATTAAAGGAGAGTTCTCTCCACCTTGAACTGCAATGAACCAATGACAGTCTCATAAACACAGATTCGTTTCATACGTCACAAACCTCAGGAACCAATCTTGTCTACTTGTGGGGACAGGGGGGCGGGGCTAAATACACCTGCAACCTTGTCAGTACAGAGAGAGAGAGAGTTAGCATTAGCACAACCACTAACACTGTGTCAGACACTGTCAGTTACAAGCTAACAAACAACATAAACAAATAAAAGGTGCTAACTATGCTAACGGTTCTGACCTGTCTGCTAGTCTCTGGTTCTAGTCTCAGACTCCTCCTCTGAGTCTGGGTCTGACTGAGGTTCAAACATGAGGCTGAGTCTCTCTGATGTTTCCTCCTCTAACCATCTTGATGCTCTCTGCTCTTTCACCTGTCCACCTGGAGCCAGCAGGTGGTGGGCGGGGCTCCAGGCCTGATCCAGATTTCTCAACCAGGAACTAAGAGTAGATGAAACCATGTGAAACTAAATCTGAATCACAGCAGAGGAATTTACAGAGTTTAAAACACATCTGGAGAAGAACTTTAAATCACTTCAAGGTGATCAAAACAAATAGCTTTTCATTCTCATATAATTCAGACTGTGAAACATTTAAAGGAGCAGTTACTTGTAGATTTATTTAATCTACTAACCATCAATCAGCCTCAGTCAGGTGATCATCTGACTAAACTGAACCTGCAGAACTCTGAGACCAGGGTCAGCCCTCAACCTCACTGGACTTTCACGGCAACACAACCAGACCCGAGGACCAGGTCCTCCTGGACCGGGTCAGAGGGACAGATCAGGAATCAGAGAAAGGGTGATGGAGGATCTGCTGGAACAGGTCTGATCCACATCAGCTCCACCTCCCTACATACAGGACTTGAAGAAGCTGGTGCGGAGGTCTGGGACCAGCAACAGACTGGGCAGGTGGTTTTACATACGTTTATAAAACATGTCACGGATTAAACCTCAGTGACTGTTGATCAAAGATTATCATCACTAACCTGCTACAGAACCCGTCCTGGTCCCTGACACCTCAGAGAGCAGATCCCTCAGTTTTATCCTCAGTCTGAAAGCAGCTCTTCAGGTTTTAAATCGCGGTACAGACCTGAACTTCCTCCTGCACTCTGGGATCGGGACTTTAGTTTAGACCCGGTTTTGCGGCTTTGATCCGGTTTGTCTGCAGTTTCTTTTACATGAAAATGTCTGATGGATTCAGTTCTTTGAGTAAACGCAGCCGCTGTAACGTCCGTTTGTTTTGTTCGTGTGGGTGAGGCGGGAGAACCGCCGGGAGCCGCGTGCACAGCGCTGACTCCGCCCACCTGAGAGTTTAGGTCCGTTAGTTTAATAAACGATAAAAAGAGACGTTTATTAAAACCCGTTTATAACCCGGTTAAAGCAGGTGTGAATGAACCGGAGCTGGATGTGACGGTAAGAAAAACAAACTCACCTTTCTGCTGGTTCTCCTCTCTCCTCCTGAACTCCGCCAACACACTGAGGAGGAACTGAGGAGATTTGTTCACTCAGCTTCACCTGAAGAATCAGCACATTCATCAGCGGGACTCCCCCCTTCTCCCCTCCTCTTTTCACAGCTCTCAAACTGTGAGAAAACATGGGACAGCTGCAGCAAGAGGAGGAGGAAGAGGGGGGAGGAGGAAGAGGGGGAGCACACTGATTGTTTTACAAGCTCCAACAGTCAAGAACCAGAAGCTGCAGTTCCTCTAACGACCACTAGAGTCTGGCTCCAACAGTGAGTCAGTCCCCATAGACTCCCATGTTAAAATGTCCAACTTTACAGCAGAAATAAACATGTTTACAGCCTGGTACAAAAACTGTTTTGGTCTCTAGAGCTAATTTCCTCCTTCATGACACCTGTTTATATAACTCACCTGTTTACATTTTATTAAGGACTACAGTTATGGAGAATTGAGGGCGTGCATCACTTTACTGGACGTCAGCTGAGACAGTTCAGAGTCACAGAATATAGCCGCTCCACTTCTAATGAATCTGCTCTGTGACAAAGGAGAAGCAGTGACATGGAATTAATGGATCAGGCATAACATTAATATCATTGTTCCAAAGTCAGAGCTTGAAGACACTAAACAACAAAACATGATGACAAGATGACAAAATGATGAAGTGACCACTAAAAAACAGAAATGACTGAAATGGACAAAGAAAAAAAGCTCAGCTACAAACTGATCGAATAAGAACAGACAGGAGATCAGGTTCACGTCACAGAGATTCATTTAAACCTCTGTCTGTGTCCATGTGCACCAGACAGGAGAGAGGAAGTGGGTGGATTCACAGCCATTTTCAATCATCCAACACTAAAACTTATTTCAGTAATAATTTATTCAAAAGCCTGGAGACATCACAGACAGTTCTGTTTGTTACACACTGTGCTCCTGGCCTGTGAATCTTTCTCTGAATTCTCAGGTGAGGACAAATCAAAACCCAAGCGCACATGTGGGAGCTGAGAGAGAGTGAAGCAAACCCAGGCAGCCAGCTCAGTAAGCTCTCCAGACCAGCAATCCAGGTGGACAACATGGCACTCACCACCTCCGTTCTGCTGCCACTTCCTGTAAGAGGAGGACACAACCAGGACAAACAAGAAGATCAGCAGGGGAGGGGGTCGTCATAAGGATCACCACCAAACAGAAAATCAAAATGCTGAAGACACAAGGGAAACAGGAGCAAACAGAAAACTTAAACTTAGACTTAAATACACAAGGGTGGCAAGGGTGATTGAACACAGGGCAGACAATCACATTGCAGGGAAGCGCAGCAAAGACAGGAATTAAAACTAACATGAAACTAAAAAGGGAAGTGATTACAAAATAAACCGGGAAATGAACAGACGTAACCAAACATAAAGAGTCAAAGTCCAAACCAAGAGTCAACATAAACAGTCCTGTCAGGGCAAACCATGACAACCTAGTGATTACAGAATACCAGTCTAAAGTTCGGACACACCTGACCATTCATTGTTTTTTCTTTATTTTGTTTATTTTCTACATTGTATGAACTATGAAATAACGTATATGAAATTATGAAGTAAACAAAAAGTGTTAAAAA